TTCGTTAACCAACGCTCTCCTCACAGTCCCGAGCACGCCTCGCACGCGACAACATTAAGACAGTGTTGCCAAGTCATGCTCGCACCTTCGGCTTGCGAATGTCCCTCCTGCACGGGGCCTCCGCGCTTCTGCAACTTCTCCCACAGCTTCTCCCGGGCAACTTCTCCCACACTTTACCGCTGCAACAACGGCTTTATTCGAAGCTAAAATCCTGCAATGCAACGGTGCAGCGGTGATGGGGAGGGGGAAGGGAGAGAGGAGGGGGCTTCTTGTTGCCAGGGAATGGGGGTTGGGCGGGATGGTTGGTTGAGGGTATGAGTTAGTGGTAGAAGGGAGAGAGAGAGAGAAAGAGAGAGAGAGAGAGAGAGAATGATAGAGAGAGGGAGATAGAAAGAGAGGGGGAGAGATAGAAAGGGAGAGGGGAGAGAGAGAAAGAAGGGAGAGGAGAAGAGAGAGGAGAGGAGAGAAGAGAAAGGAGGGAGAGAGAGAGAGGGGGGGGACGAGAAGAGAGGAGAGAGGGGGGGAGAGAGAACTGATAAGATTAGACAGAAGAGGGATATGTATAATATATAAGAAGAGAGAATATGATAAAGAGAGGGAAATAGAAAGAGAGAGAGGGGGATGTGTGGCGAGGGAGATAGGGAAACAGAGGAGAGAGAGAAAGAGGGGGGAGTGAGTAAGGTAAAACTATAAAAAGGCAGGGAAATGAAGAGAGGTGAAGGTTGTAGAAAGAGAAGAAAGAAAAAATAAATAAATAGAAAGTGAAGATCGGAAATATATTTCAGAAAAATGTAAAAAAAGAAAAAGAGAGAGAGAAAGAGAAATAAAACAAGAAAACAAACAAACATCAAAGAGAGGAGGAGGACGAGAAAAAAGAAAGAAAAAGTGAAAACCGAGTTTCAGAAATACAACTTTTTTTTGGCACGTGAGAATTTCCTTTAAGTGTGACTTTATATAGTCTAGTGTGAGAGAACCTCAAGCACGCGTGAAAACTCATGACTCCAGGTTATTTCTGTTTGCACTTATATATGAATATACTGAGCGGGTCTATATCTATGCTTATATATCTGTGTGTGGTAGATAGATAGATAAATAGATACATATAGATATGATATAATATGTGGTGTGTGTGTGTTACACCACAACACACACACACACACACACACACATAACACACACACCATATATATATACATATATATATATATATATATATATATATATATATATATATAGATAGTATGTATGTATAATAGAGATATGATAGAGAGAGAAGAGAGGAAGAGAGAGAGAGAAGAGAGAGAGAGAAGAGAGAGAGAGAGAGAGAGAGAGAGAGAGAGAGAGAGAGAGAGAGAGAGAGAGAGAGAGAGAGAGAGAGAGAGAGAGAAGAGAGAGAGAGAGAGAGAGAGAGAGAGAGAGAGAGTATGTACGTACGTAGAACTAAGCAGACGTACAGTACATACATACCTACATACACATAATCTTTTCCCTTCTTTCCGCCTTCCTTTCTTTCATAATTTTGTTGTTAACCATCCAAAATGATCTGTATGTTTGCAAAATGACACCATATTCAAACACACAAATTTCTTTAATTTCGCGTCACAGTCCGTGGGTACACCGTGTGCGATTGTGTGCGTCATCCTCATGTGCGTGTGTGTACAAATGTGTGCGTGTGTATGTACGTGTAGTCTGACCTACAGGTGTTCACTCACGCGGGAAGTGACCCCCCCCCCCTTCCTTCCTCCTTCCCCTCCTCACCCCCCCCCCTCCTTGTACGTGACGCAAGACGTTGACCCCCCCCCCCCCCATCCCCAAACCCCCGCCCATGCACTCTCTCTGTCTTTTTCTTCTTCTTCTTCTCTCATTCTTTCTTCTGATCTCACCTTGTTTTCATTCGTTACTCCTTTTTTATTTTTCTCTTAACGTTTCTCTCTCTCTCTCTCTCTCTCTCTCTCTCTCTCTCTCTCTCTCTCTCTCTCTTCTCTCTCTCTCTCTCTCTCTCTCTCTCTCTCTCTCTCTCTCTCTCTCTTCTCTAACTCTCTTCTTCTCTTTCCTCTCCAACTCTCTCTTCCCTCTATATTCTCTCACTCTCTGTGTTATCTCTTTCTCTCTCTCTCCTCTCTCTCTCTCTCTCTCTCTCTCTCTCTCTCTCTCTCTCTCTCTCTCTCTCTCTCTCTCTTCTCTCTATCTATCTATCTATTCCTATCTATCTTTTCTCTCCTCTCTCTCTCTCTCTCTCTTCTCTTCCTCTCTCTCTCTCTCTCTCTCTCTTCTCCTCTTCTCTCTCTCTCTCTCTCTCTCTATCTCTCTCTCTGATGATGATGATTGATGTAATAACAATAAC